GATTACCTTAAAAAAAAAAAATACAACACAAACCCAGGTCTCAGGACACATTAACTGGAGGCAAGTCCGATAAGACTAATGCTCTCAAATGAAAGGATTTTACAAAGCATCCCTCCCTTCCATCACCTATTACATGGAAAGAAAAGAGACTTTCTCACTTGCTCAAAGTAGAACTCAGAGCGGACTTGGTCCGAAAACGCTGTGTCTGGTCGAAGCTTCCATGAGTGGTGCACATGTTGGATTGCTGCAGTCATGTTCTTTTTGAGCAGGTCAGCACTCAACAGGCCGGGGAGGTCAAGTGGAGTTGGGCTGGAGGCGAACATGCCAGGGCTGGTGGGCGTGGCACCGGAGCCAGCACCCGACAAACGCTCCTTGATCCTCTGACTGTAAATCTCATGCTCTTCCTGGGCCCGGTGCTCACTGTGAATGATGAAGCACATAAGTCAAAAGTTCAGCAAGTACAAGCTCAATATCCACAACAGCAGGCCTGCCAACTATGTAATGTACAGATGCAATATCCAAAAGGGAGACGTTTGAAGAGATGGGGATGAAAGACGGCGTAAATACAACAAAGTAATAATCCTTGATACAATCCACATTTTTTAGATTGACTTCTAGGCTTATGCATCCCTACATGGTAATAGAAAAATAATGTAAATGTCATGTTTGTTTTACCGCGCTCGCAACTGCATAAGGTCAAATGAGCGTGTGGGACGCATTTAACATTTTTAGCTTGGAAGGATTAAATTTTGAATTTCCCCTGGGTGGCAGCTGAAGCCAACTCTTTATCGATTTTGGACCACAAAGGGATCTTTAACCAGCACAACTTGCACACGAGACCTCCAAAATTTTTCACCCATAACCAGAAGGTTAGGTGTTAGATCTTACCTATCCTAAGATCAGGGGTGCGGCTTAAAGACTGCAGTAGAAGTAGCCATGGAGTAGCAGTAGAAATACTGCAGAAAGAGACGTGAGCCCACAGTCACAAGTATAATGATGTAAAAGAACTCTTGTTAACAATAATAATGTCTAAGCAAGATTAGATACGTATTCAGTATTCTGACAATACCTTGAGGTGTGAAGCTGCTCGAAGCATTCGTCACATGTACGGCCAGGTACCCCAAAGACGATGGTCTGTTTGGTCGAGCACGCAGCACAAACAACTCTGCCACAGCGACGGCAATGATGGCGCCGGTTGAACTGGCCACCAAAAAATATGAATATAAACTGAGCCATACAAAAAAATCAAAACATAGACAACCTACTTTCACCTTTTCATTGACACCTTTGAGACTTACATACACACGAAACTTCTCATAGGAACAGACAAAAAGAAGGAAAAAAATCAAAAGAAACTAAACAATAGTAGCATGAATTTCACTTCATCACTGATTTTTCAATACAATCTAAGTTATATAGCAAGGATAATAGTGGCTGTTGATTTTAAAAAAAATTGCGAATTTATGTAGTATGCAAAAGAAAAAGGTATGCAGTATACATTTTTTGTTTGTTTGTTAGGCAAACATAAGCTAAAATTGAATAAACCAAATCCTAGTGATAAGTACAGATTTTTCTCCACAGGCAGCCAAGGTCCTACCTAACACACAATGGCAGGTCACGAAAGTGTCAGTGTGCTTTATTTTTTTTAAAAGGCACTCACCATACTAAACCGTTCAACAGTGCACACCATACAGACAGCTGTGGCATCGTCAGGCACCCACTGGTCTTGTGTTGGAGGCTGGGCAGGCATCACAAAACGGCTGCCAGTGTTGGCGGATGTGGCAGAAGCTGACTTTTGCCTCATACCCACTCGCCCCGTCGCGTCAGGCCGGGCCGACTGAGTGCTGGCCAAGCTCAGGGTGGGTGAAACTGAGGACACACGAACAAAGTGTTTTTGAGTATGCAAAAATACCAAGTCCAAAAATATACTTTTGCTTTACCTTTTACTTTTTCGATCCAGAAGCCATCTAAGTTCTAGCAAACATAAAACATCGATTACGAGAAGCTAACTTGTATAAAAGAGAGCTAAATTAAGAAAAGGTTGAAGAGTTACAGGCAACATAAGAAAATTAGAACAGTTAGTTCAGTTTTAGTAAGAGTTTTACGGCACTTGCAACACAATAAGGCCATATAAGTGCCGAAGAACGGATGTGTTACAAGAGAGTAACATACACAAAAAAAGGTGAGAGATAAGGGCGATATATGTTTGAAAGGAAAGAAGGAGCAAACGACACCAGAGCACCTGCCAACCACCCACTTTGAACAGTTAAATATATTCATGACCAACTAAAAACAAAAAAAGATGATATTATAAATTCTGCATTCAATGCAAAGTCTCCTAATGGATAGAGACTTGCCAAAAACAAAATTGGAATATCTACAATTGTAATAAAACTAGTATGAGAGATAAGATGTCAAAACCAGCAAGGCCACCACCCCAAGTGTTAGTACTAAAAAGATAACTTTTTCAGTGTTAGTACCAGAAAGGTCACCTCTCCGCTTGTCATACGACCGCCTCATTGTGCTGGTCAACATCTCAGACTCCTCAAGATGTCCAGAGCCACTGGATGCTGCACTCTCACTGCGTGACTTGTACTCTGAGATAAAGCAAAAGCAGAAATTTTTATTGAACGTTAAAAGTTTATTAACATTATAAAGCTATCAAAGAAGAAATTAACACTGTCTTTTCTCTTGTTCTGGAAACTCCCTCACCCATTCTCATGCCTCTTCATTTATCTAGAAATGCACAACACCAGCCAGCTATTCAGAAGTCCAAAATTTTGAATTTTCTTAATTGCAGTTTCTTCATTTGTAATACCAGGTGTATGATCTCGAGAAATATCTTGTTGAAATTCAAGTTCGAAATGCTGAAAATAGCCAAAAAAGAAACATAATCCAAGAACAGTTTTTTCTAAACGGTACAGTTGCTTCTTTTTTTCTCTCTCCTGTAAAATTTGGCTTTCTCAGTTAAGAACAGTTGAACATCTTGCCAATGAAAAATTCACTAACAAATGAGGTGTAAAATTCGTATCATTCAATTGAAAATAAAGGCCATTTGGTTGTTTATATGTGAAAAGTAAACAACAGTAAATTTCATTAACACCTTCTGATAACATTTTAAATGTTGTTTCTTCTCTAAAGAAAGGGCATACGTTTTTTTTCTCAACCTGAGGACATTTCATACAATCTATCAATGACACTAAACAAACCAAAACAATAATGAATTTCATACAAAAAGAAAACAAACACAGAAAAAAATCCCAGAACAATACTCTAAAACAAATCTTTTTAAAATCCTGAAAAAAAAACTGGAACATGAGACAGTATAGTGAGATCTGTACCTTGTACTTGCACCACAGTAACCTCCACAGCTTTACGGGCATAGGTTGTGAGCAGGGCGTTGAACTGCTCTTGAGCCATGCGCAGCTTGGGCTCCCGCACTTCCACAAAGTCAGGCTTGATCTGCTCAAAGATCTGACCAGCCAGCTCCGCCTGGGGATGTCAGCAGACGAGGAACGGTAAGAAGACAAGGAGTGAAGCAGGGTGAGAAGAGATGAATTCATGAAAAGACATGTGATCTGAGAAAAGGCTGAGAGAGTTGAGAAAAAGAAAGGTGAGTGGGGAGAGTAGAGGGGAGGTGCAGTAATTTGAAGCAAGGCATGGAGAGAAGAGAGGTGAGGTGAAAGCGATGTGATATAACTTATAATATAACATATATATTTGCCTGTAATAGAACTTCATCCATAATAATATGGGTGGGTATACTTTGACATTCTGGAGAATCTGCCCATTTTTGTGGGTTGCACATTTAATAAGGGGTGAATTTCTGACATGTAGGAGGGGGCTCAACAGGTGTGAAATAAAGTCCTAGTTAGGCATCAAAGTGTCTTGCATATAAAAATAGCTGGTTGTTACATTGAATTCAATTTCTTTTGTCAGACAAGTAGCAGGTAACCCAAGCAAGACACCCTGATGTGCTGCAACATTCAGATCTTTAAAAGTTCAAAGAAAATCATATACGGAATTACTTGACCTTTGTTGGACCCGATCCTGGCTGTGTGCTGTGTGCACAATATAAGCTAGAGGTATATTTTTTTACCTCATTTTTTTGAAAAATTGTTCATATTATAATCAAGTTTTAATACTGCAAAATACTCCTCGCCCTACGAGTTTTCTCCCACTGTCTAGCACACCCCCCCCCCCCCACCCCCACTCAATAGCAAGGTCTGTGTGTTTTGTGATTATATTACGATATGACAAACTATCTAAATTTGTTTGAGCTTGAGAGAAATAAAATAAAAAAACAACATTAATAAAAGGTTGGAATAGTGACACAACCAAAGCAAGTCAGCTTAAGACAAGATAAGCTTGGACTCCCCTTAAAAACAAAAACAAAAAAACACAAAGTCATTATCCTTTGTAGAGGGCAGAATTTCAACATCTCAAAAGATTATTCACAAAAATAAGATACTTAACAATTCTGCAGCACAACAAAGCAAAGTTCTCATAAAAGTAATTACGCTGCAAAATACTGCTCATATCTACTTATAACTGAAAACATAAATAAAAATGAACATGCGGTCACTGTGAACAACATACATGATCAAATGCATGTTACCTTCATGTTCATTAACAGTTGCTCTAAGATAAGATGTGGGCAAGCAAGGAGGTGGCTGTACTCATCTTGGATCTTAGCAGGGATGCACATGAGAGCCTGCCAAGGAAATACATCAAATAAAGGAAATAGCATGCAGGTGTATGAGCATAGACTCAGACCGAGTTATTCTAAGAACAGTAGTTCAATTCTTATCACACCAGCTGTACGATAAAGCAAAATCTATTTGATGACATTTAACCTAGTCAAAAGATCTATCATCTCAAGATCAAACCGTAGCCTGTTACATCACCCATGTGACAATCCTGGAGGGATATAATTTGACCTGGTTGTTTTAATGTGCAGCTAACAACACTTTTTATGGTATTCTTTTCCATGGTTAAGATCACAAAGAGTACTAGCAATAAAAAGTAAAATTACATGTAAAGATACCTTTCTGGAAAAAAGACAATCAACAAACACTGGGTAACAAATCAGAGTGATTGAAGAGGCAAACAATATTCCAAGACAAAAGCTACATTGGCAAGGGAGTTTCCTTGCATCAGTTGGATTTCTGAGACTCAAAAGATCACTGAAATTTTAATACAGAAGGCAAAAAAAAAACAGAGCTATAAACAGTAATAAACAACATAAAAAGATTTGATTATTTCATATAATTTCTCCAGTACAGAGGATTTCCTGAAACGTGGCAACCCTCACTGACCTTTGCCCCAATACGCCTCAGCCTGAGGTCCTCAACATCATCGGGGAGAAGATGCTGGCTCAGGTACCGCAGGATGAAGCTGAGCACAAACTTGATCTCATTTGGTCGGCTCAGCTGATTGGCCAAGGCTTGGCACACGACCAAACACTCTGTCTCTGAGCTCTGAAGTAACTCGTCTAACACCTGACAAACAGAAATAATGGTGACTTAATCACAACTTAAAAACAGCAATAAGTCTATATTTACATCGTATCAAAAGCATCAATAACAAAATTTGTTTTCACAAAATAGAACGGATAGAAAAAAAAATATATAGAAGTGACATTCACTTAACTATTAGTCTAAATATGCAACTCATTACCATTCAAATACATTTCACAAATCACCTTAAGCTCCACATTGACACTTTTGAAAATATATGTAACAATGAACTTCGTGAACTATTATTAAAATTTGAGACAGAAAAGTATATAAAATCATATTTTCTTAAACTGGATCAACAAATTCACATCTAAAATAAAGCATTGACACTTTGCTTCCCACTGACAACAGACATCTCCTGAGTTTACAT